AGGAGTGAAATTGAGTCATTGAGGGATTATCCTATTGCCTATTCGTATAGAGTTCTTTGGGTCATTTTGTGTTCTGTTATGGCTGAAGATTGTGATTTCCTTAGATGGGTAATTGTGAATTTTCCTTTGTGATGATGGTGTGATTGATGTGCGTATGAGGGATCAAATAGTTTTGCTTTTTTAGCTTTGTTTGAAAGCAATTGTGAGGGAAGCTACTGGTTCGGTGGATTCAGTATTGAACATAGATGTGAGGGAGTTGAATCCAGCTGCTATGAGTTTATATCATGGATGGCTATTATTTCATGATATAAACTCTGTGCCTAATGATTTGCACGTACAACATTATAATTTCAGTTTATTTTCAGTTGTGGGAAGTGGTGTGTGTTTTTGTTTTTAAATTATGGATGTGAGAACTTTCTGGTTTTCAAAATATTTCAAGTTCTCTTACTTACTAAGAATTTAGAATTAGAAACAGCATCATAAGCAATCACTTGACCTGCTACTTTGTTTCCTCAGTGCACATCAAAGAAAGGTAGAAGTGAGACAATGGACCTGATTGATTGCAGAATAAAAGTTTGGTAGCCAGTGGACAAGCAGTAAGTATTTTGTTGGTTTAGAGAACAAGATTAAGCCATTTTTTAACAAAATAGGTGAGAAAGATAAAGTTGAAGCATGAGATGTGTAGGTCTATGAAATTGGGAATCTCTATTTTATTTAAATTTCTAATTTATTATGTATCCATCTTCTGTTTAAAATTAAGCTCTGGATAATTTCCTTTCCAGGTAAAAGTAGTTAGATTGAGATGAGTCATATCCTTTCAGTAATAGGTTCAACACTTGAAAAAATATTTTCAATAACACCAGTGTCTACAGGGTTGGCCATGGCTTAGTTTTGTTCTTCACTTGGATTGTGAAAATGAATTTTATTTTCTTGTACCCATGAACACAGTGACCCCTTACCAAATTCTTCTTTAGTTCAGTTTCATGAAAGTTTCCCATTCTACTCCTCTGTTTAGGGCCATGGGTGGTCTGCTACTACTAGGAGTCTGCGACTTTTGATCAGTTTGTCACTCTGTTTTCTATGCCATCCATATTGGATTCTTTGGCATACATTAAAACTTTTCTTAATCCTTTGATTGAGTCATCTCAAATAGTTGACCTTGTTTATGACTTAATCAATAGCTACTCATAAGTTCTGTTCCATTCCTAATTGTGTCTTTCCTGCAAGGAAGCAAGGACACTTCCCTATATGTGACATATACACATTTTTGGACACGGATAGGTGTGAAACACTGGAGACATGCCCCAACTTCTGTTAATTTAGTTTTACGTGACATGTTGCTGACTTGTTGAGGACATGCCTGTATGAGAATCAGACTCACACAGACCAAAAATGGCAGGGGCCAAACTCTAATTTTGGAAGCCATTTAATGAACGGTCAAAGTGGTAAAAATAAAAATAAAAAGCTTGATACATTCAGAATGGAAAGAAAATTTGACTCTACACTCGCACATCCCAATATCAGTGATGGGCCAAGATGACTTGTACCCAGTTGTCAGTCGCACTGGCACATCCCAACGCGGGTGACTGGTGAAGATGACTTCTGCCCAGCGCTGTGTACCCCAGGGCCAATGACCTCTGGCTAGTGGAGAAGGGCTTCTGGCATATTCTCTTTGGCCCTTGCTTGCATTGACCTCCCAGTCTTGTGGCCTTTGGCTGATGTTGCTTGGGTTGTCATGATGATTAAAAAATTATATATATTGATCTCATGTTTGCTCTTTAGCTACCATCTTTTGATTGCTTTGACGCTGCCAATTTTCATCAGCCAAATCAATTTGTGGGCTGTCTGGAGATGGATTACATGTGGATGCAAGTCTCAAACCCATTCATCATCTTTTTTTACTTTATTTATATTTTCTATTTGTCGAACATGACATACAAAGAAAAAATGGGAGAATCAAATCAAAATTTATATTTATAATTTCCAAATGTAAATATATATATGTATATATTGTTGTGGCTCTGCTGGTTTTATGGCTTTTGAAAATTGCCTTGTTAGCGTGTATATATATCAATGTGCTAATAAATTATTCAAAAGCATACCGCATAATCTTGATCTAGGGAATGACAATCCTTGATTACCTTAGTAGTGTGTACTTTTTGTACACGTGGTTTGCACTCCAAAATCCTTGTGTGTATACACGCTGCTGCAAGAATTGTGTCTTGATGGTGTCTTGTTAAAATCAACAGGTTTTATGGAGTAGTGAAGTCTTATGACTCTGAACATAAGAAATATGTGGTAAGTGCACCGTTCCATGTTCTATTTTTTTATTCTAATACTTGTGTTAGTCATGTTTTGGAGATACACATTTTATTTATTTATTTATCAATAATGTTATAATTGTAATCTCATATGGTTCTTTGACATAATTTTCTCTGATCAATTTTGTGTTAAAGGTACTGTATGATGATGGAGATGTGGAAGTGCTCCGTTTAGATAAAGAGCGTTGGGAGCTTGTTGACAATGGTCACAAGCCTACAAAGGTTAACTTTATATTATAAATTCTATTGAAGCAATGAATTGGCCTTTAACTCTAACAATGTGTCTTTTTTACACCACCATTCACAGTAGTTAAATTCATCGAAAGGTCTATCTAAAAAGGGATTGTGAGTAATGCCTTCTAATTCATATCTGCAATCTACAAATTGTTTTGTGGGAATTATATGTTTAAACGTGCAGAGGCTTGTGGCAGTATTGGTGCATGGATCTAATTTTATTTTATTTTGCAGATTGTCTGAGAAGAACATCTACAAGGTTTCATTTTCATTATGATTTATCCTAAACATTTGGCTTATAATAGTGTTAGTACATTTTGATTATGTAATTCTGTCTAGATATATAACCTGTTTCATATACTAACCATTAAAGCTTCATTAATTTGTTTAGGACCATGGAACTGTTAGTTGAGTATTGAAAGGGTAAAGAGTCCATGAAAACCAACTAAAACATTTTGTTTATAATGTTACAGATAATCAAAATCAACTAAAACATTTCTAACACCAAAATTATAAATTATGTGTTTACGGAAGCTTAAGCAGAAATATCTATAAATTTTCAGGTTGAGGAACTTGCTCGGTTATCGTTAATACAACTCCTGTCTATATTGATGTGGATGATGGGCGGAAGAAGGTAAATTAATCATTGGAATTTATTCGTATAGATTCCATTTTTTTTTATTTACTTTTCTTTAGGTATGAATGCATTTTCATATAATCTACAAATCAAAGTAGTCATTGCTCCACTAAAAAATCCAAAATACACAAGAAGCCAATATTAATTCTCTTTCTTTCTTGTGCTTAACCCCAGCAAGGTAGAGGGTGGCTTAACAAGTGCAATTTCAACAAACTTGAACGAAGAAGGCCCTTTGCCCTCTATAAAATTGGTCAGAAAACAATTCGGTGGAGACAAATTTTGGAGATAGGACAGTGAAAAGAAACCAAGACGAAGAGGATGATATTCATGATCAAGAAGACTCGAAACCAATGGATGAAAGGGCATTTTGGAGGAAGACAATTGTTCAAACCTTGAAGAAAAACAAGAACGAGAAAAAATAGAAGAAAAATGAGCCTTTTAAAGGAAAAAGCAAATTGAAGAGTGATAAAACAGAGGAAAACATAGGAGAAAGGGTGGACAAGTGTGAAAAACTTAAGACATTTGAGGAGTTCTTCATGGATAAATTTAAATCCATTGGAAATGATCTCATCTTTTTTATTCCAATCTTGTACACCCACATGCCAATTTCTATCATTGGAAATGATCTCATCTTTTTTATTCCAATCTTGTACACCCACATGCCAATGGATGAAATTATTTGTGATGATGAATGGATATTTTCATTTTGTTAATTCGTAAATGTGTTGATAACAGGTTAGGTTAAGTTGTGATGGAATTGTTATATTCAACAGGTTTCAACATGAACAGGGTTATATTTGTTGAACTAAAATTTAGATTTTGATAAAATAGGTATATAATATGGAAAAAAATATTATGAAATTATTGACAAAATTTTCCATCCCTAAAGAAGGTTCTTTTGTCTCTTATTTCGCTTAGGTGGATGATTAATTTTGTCATGAATTTTTTATTTCGTCACTAAATGCATTTGTCGTGACAAAAAATATTGTCACATTTTGTCACTATTATCCTCAATGTGTGACGAATTTTTTTTGACATTATTTTATCATTTTTAATGATGAATTTGTTTTTATCTCTATTGGTAGCTTCTTTGACAAAAAAATTTCGTCTTCGTTTATATTAAGCGTGACAAAATTATTTCGTCTCTATTTCTTATATTTATGACGAAATACTTTTATCTCTAATTTCTTCCTTTAATGACAAAATATTTTGTCGCTAATTACTTACAAGTATGTTCCCAACAGAGCGTATTGGAGACAAAAAAATTCGTCACAAATTTATCATTTTCAATGACGAAATTGTTTTTTCGTCTCTACGACCCTTTAGCGACGAGGCTTTGGCGACAAAACGGGTGACGAAAAATTTTCGTCGTAATTAGTTTGGGTGACGAAATACATATATTTTGGGACAAATTTGTTTCGTCTTTAAATCCCAAATTTGTTGTAGTGAATGTTTTCCCATTTTTGATGAAGAAATAGGTTCCACTATACCTGATGGTATTAATACTTTAATATATACCATAGTCAATCATTTTATTGGAACACCTACTAATATTCATTCTTGTATTCATGATCAATTAAGCAATTTAACCTGTCCTACTTTAAGTGATTTTCGATGGTATAAAGATGTTTTCACTTCGCGGGTTATGCTTAGAGATGATTGCACCAAGTCAATTTGGAAAGAAAAATTCATTGATGGATTACCTAGTCTTTTTGCCCATAAGATTAGAGATGTTCTTAGTCAACCCTCTGGTATTATAGAATATGATAATTTAACCTATGGTGATATTATTAGCACTATTCAAAAAGAAGGCTTAAAAATGTTTATTGATTTAAAACTTAGTCAAAAAGCTGCTAAAGATAAACACAAAGCCAAATATGAATTAGGAAATTTCTGTGAACAATATGATTTACCTCCCGTCGCTCCTTCATGAAGAAAACTTAGTAAAAATCAACATAAAGAATCTTCCTACAAACATTCCCATAAGGGAAAAAAGAAATATTACCCTTCTAAATCAACAGATAAATATTATACTAATCTCAAAAAGAAATATTCTAAAACATCTAAAAAAGGGTCAAAACCCACTCCTGATGTTACTTGTTACAACTGTGGTAAAAAGGGTCATTGTTCTAATAAATGTAAGGTTAAAGACAAACTTAAAACTAAACTTAATCAATTACAAATTACTGAGGAAAATCAACAACAAATATTTGATATATTTAAATTAAATATTTATCCGAATCAATCCCCTAACCAATCTAATAAACCTCATCTGACAATGATATTACCTCTAGTAGCACTTCTACTTATTGTTCTCCTACTGATAATACAGATAATGATATTGAATTAGGATGTAATAATACTTGCTGTAAAACAATTAATGTCCTAAGTAAATCTCAACAAGAAGAAATTGCTCTCATTGAATTAATTGCTAAATTAGAAAACCCTGAATTAAAAAGACAATATACTAATAAGTTAAAATCCTCGTTAACAAATATAGAAAAGAAACCTAAACATGATAAACCAATTATTAGTTTAAACAAAACTTTGGATTGGTTCAAAAAAGAAAAACATAAAGAAGTTACTTTACAAGACTTATAAAATAAGATTAATCAAATCAAATTCACCATCCAAGAATTAAAAACTACAGATAAAGCTTTGGAAGACGAAATTGCCATATTAAAAATCAATAAAAGCCTTGATGATTTTCAACAATCACATAAATCTGGTTCTGAACATGAGGATGGATCTAAAACTGATCCTGATAACATCCTCTTTGATAATCGAACCACTACACACAATAGTGATCAAGATAATAAACATTTAAATATAATTCATCAGATCAATATTCAAAAATGGCATTCAAAAATCAAATTAGTTATTAATGATTTTGAAAAAGAAGTTATTACATTAATCGATACTGGTGCAGATTTTTAAATTGTATTCAAGAAGGATTAATTCCAACCAAATATTACCACAAAACTACTGAACAATTAAGTTCTGCCAATGGAAGTCAAGTGAATATCAAATATAAATTACCCAAAGTACATATTTGTCAAGATAATATTTGTTTTAAAACATCCTTTGTTTTAGTTATAAATTTAACTGATAAAGTTATTTTAGGTACCCCTTTTATTTTCCTATTATATCCCTTTACTACAACTAATCAAGGAATTACTACACAAGCTTTTGGTCATACAGTTACTTTTAAATTTTTGTCACCTCCTGAGGTCAAAGAATTACATCAACTAAAAGATTGTTGTATTTCTCAAACAATCAATCGATTAACTAAACACCTTAAATTTCTTAAAGAAGAAGTAAACTATAAGGGAATTGAAACTCAATTAATTGATCCTCTTCTAATCTCTAAAATTGATCATTTTAAAACTCAATTAGAATAAACTATTTGTTCTACTTTACCCAGTGCTTTTTGGCATAGGAAAAAACATATAGTTATACTCCCATATATTAAAAATTTTAATGAAAAACAAATACCTACTAAATCTAGACCTATTCAAATAAACCATGAGTTAGTCGAAATGTGCAAACAAGAAATTAATGAACTATTAAACAATAAAATTATCAGTCATAGTAAGTCACCTTGGTCTTGACCTGCTTTTTATGTTAACAAAAACGCTGAACTAGAAAGAGGAGTCCCTCGTCTTATCATTAATTATAAACCATTAAATAAAGTTTTAGAATGGATTCATTATCCCATCCCTAATAAAAAAAGATTTAATTAAACGACTTAGTCAAGCCGTCATTTTTAGTAAATTTGATTTAAAAAGTGGATTTTGGCAAATCCAAATTCATCCTAATGATCGTTATAAAACTTCTTTTACTACTTCTTTTGGCTATTACGAATGGAATGTTATGCCCTTTGGATTAAAAAATGCTCCTAGTGAATTTCAAAATATTATGAATGAAATTTTCAATCCTTTTAGTCATTTTTCTATTGTCTACATAGATGATATCCTTATTTTCTCAAAGTCTATATTTGAACATTGGAAACATCTTAATGCTTTTTTCCACCTCATTAAATACAATGGTCTCGTTATCTCTACCCCTAAGATTAAACTTTTCCAAACTAAAATCCGCTTCTTAGGGTATGATATTTACCATGGTACAATTCTTCCCATTAGTAGGTCTATTGAATTTGCCTCTAAATTTCCTGATGAAATCTTAGATAAAAATCAGTTACAATGCTTCTTAGGTTCCTTAAACTATATTGCTGAATTCTATAAAGACCTTCGCAAAACTTGTCAACCCCTCTTTGATCGGTTAAAAGATAATCTTCCTCCTTGGTCTTCTCTCCATACTTCTATAGTTCAACAAGTGAAAAAATATGTTAAGACTTTGCCTTGTGTAGACGCGCCCGCGGAGGGCCTCATGCTACAGTTCGGACTCAATTTGTGTCACGGTTCTAAATAAATCTGAACCAAAGAGTCCAAATCTGGCAAATCGTTTTGAGAAACAGATTTTTTGAAAAAGTAGTGCCAAAACATGGACTGCTTTGCCAGATACAGAGTCGCCACCTAATGTTTTAAAATGGGAGAATTTAGGAAACCCTGACTCGGTGCCGAAGGCCACATGTCCGTCATCACCGGAGTTGTCTCGGCTCGGGACTTGGGTACGATCGGGGAAGGTCAGCTATGAGCACCCCCTTTCGCCCGGTCCGAAGACCGGCCTCTACTAACCGTGATATCCATTTTGAAAACGTTATGTGTTCTTATTCCAATTATTAGCCTAGAATTACTATGTTATGCGCACAGCAAACAAGTATAGACTAGATTGCCTAATTTGGAAATAAACATTGCATATCCGTTTGGTTTGAAAATGCTTTGGAATTTGCTACTCGCAAGTAGGCTAAAATACGGATTTCAACGAGTTTTTTCCAACTCAAACAATCCGGCTTCACCACAGGCATTAAAACAGTTTAACACATAGCATCTAGCCACATGTTAAGCATGCTGTCATGGTAACATTCACACTTATGCGATATGCTAAAGCGGAAATACTTACATAGTACTCCGTGCCAAAACAAAGAACTTGTTAGCAAACATGCATGATCCAAGTCCATGGGAAGTGCCTAATGCGTCGCATACAAAATATTGCTAGAATAGGCTTGGCTATCCTAAACATGTCATGTGAAAATGCCACATTATCACGTATTCAGTTTTTGATTTGAAAAACATATGCGGTTAGCATGATGTACCGAGCCTAATGCATGTAATACAAATGCATGGATGCACACATGCATAGCATAAGGTATGCTAAATTGAACGTGCCCTAATCTACCATCATAAGCAGGTAAATAAAAGGGAAGAAGACGTGAGGTTGGAAGACATACACACACTCACGCACACTTATTACAGGTTTGCGCTCGCTCGGGGGACCGAAATAATAATACAAATTAATTAACTACACCAGCTAATTAATATTACAAATTAACTAATTTAATAACAAATTGAATAAATTAAATAAAGCGGGAAACGCCTCGGAAGCGCGCCACCATGCGCAAGCTGCCTCTGTTTTCTCTCTATGCTCCTCTGGAGGCTGTCAAAACCTCAGGTTGCATCCCTAGGCACTGGGAGTACCACCGGCTGAGTGGAATCATCACCGGCACTGGTATGTGTCCATCGGACAAAATTGAAGCTGTC